CCTGGAGCAAAACAACAGCTGCAAACACCAGGCTATATAGACCATGCACTGACAAGGAACATGGGGAAACACACAAGTATATATATATATATATATATATATATATATATACAGAGAACTAATCACAAGAACAAGACACAGCTGGAGTAGGCAGGTACAGGCATAAGGAGGGAAACACAAGGACTGGCTAACAATGGAGACAACCAGGGTGTGTTGGGAGGTGGTAACACTAGTGCAGAGCAAATGAGATTAGCACAAGCCAGGTGTGCAGGGAAGACTCTGGGAACAGGGGAAGACTAATAAGACTGATACAAAGCAGGTGTGTTATAAAACAGGTGTGAAACAAAGGTAGAAGTTAAACAAGACACAACACGTATGGGAAGTAAGCTTCAAAACAAAACAGGAAACAAAACCCTTGGACTATGACACATATATTATGAATGTATATGTATATGTGTAACATGAAAAATGTCTTCACAAAATAATCCTAAGGCATTGCAGAGGTGAATTTTATGAGTGTGTTATGAGTGTTCTTCAGGTTTTTATGAGCAAACACGTACAAACACGGAGTAACTGAAAATAACTTATGCATCTTTATTCACAATTTAGTGATATCCCCACAGTCTCAGTCTCTTTGACTGAGACCAATATAAGACATAGTAAAATGTAGCTCATTCCAAGACCAGACAGAGACCTTTAAAAAAGGTTCTCGAGACCAAGACTGATCATTTACTACAACACTGCTGAGTGGACTACCTCCTGAGTCGTACCCACCCATAAAAAGATGTAAGATTTCAGTGGAAAAAAGTGGAATTCACTGTGTTGTCCGATTCTTTTAAGGGAATACATCCTTATTGTTACTTTTCTTGTTAAGACGGACATTTTTGCATTGTTGGCAGTGCTCTGATCTAATCCAAGACTGTGCTGTTCTGGAGAAAAAGACACCAGCAGACTGTAACACGTCTTATCCCCTTTGCTTTGTTCTTCCATCCTCCACTCTCATTTTAATCTCACCAGCCTCGCACTCTGTAAACGTTTCCCTGCTGAACATGTCGAGAGACTCCTCATTTCGTCACCTTCCTGTCCTCTGGATGAAGCAGCAGCCATCTTATGTGCTCACACAAGGGAGTTGGTTGGCACAGGAAGTATCCATAAGGTCTTTTGACTTTTCACATGATACTTCCTGTCTCCACATGAGCTCATGAAATGGCTGAAAACATCAATACCTTTGCTCATCATGTGCGTGTGTCTGCTGCAAGCCTGTTTGCCGCCAACTGAACAGAGCTAAATATTAACTCAACACATTGCGCCAGTGTACACTGTGTGGGGTGCACACCTGCTGCACCACCGTATATATGAATCATATGTGCAAACAACTAATTGTGACTATACCTCTCCCTCACAAAACACAGACTGTTGGTGATGAAACCTCTGCACACACATTACCAGCTGGTGCAGCTACAAAAGGAAGAAACCTCTAATCACAAACGCAAACATCCCCATCCACATACAAATAAATTCTACTGTATGTGCACATGCATCCACATGCACATTTATTACAACCCAGTCGCCAGAGTGAATGTTGGCATTGTACATTTCTGCAAACCACAGGTAACTTACATCTGTACAAACTTTTCTTTACGTTTTTACAATGCTGGATTTAATGTGTGGTTAGATTTAGGCACAAAAGCCACTTGGTAATGGTCAGGAAAAGATCATATTTTGGCTTCAAATAGCAGCTTTTACTGGCACAATCCCAGCAGGAAATGCAGCGATGTCCAAGTAAAATACAGCCTATCCAAGCAATAAACGCAGCAATATCTGAGTAAAAACAAACTCTTTCCATGGAACCATCTCCTCAGAGAATTCAGCAACATTTTGGTAAAAAACAACCAGTGTCTATGGCACTATCAGCAGTTGAAATACAATAACTGGTTGCTAAAAAACGCCCATATTTGCTGGCTAAAATGCCAGGGAATGGCAGCAATGACTCACTACAAACAACTGGTGTTGTTGTTTGTTGGTTTCAAACAGTGGTCTGCAGCTTGGCAGCCATCTGATGACACACCATCCACCATACCTCCTGATGACAAATTTAGCTCACACTATATACTAAATTATTTTAGAAATGCTTATCTGATGTGTAAAGCATACAAATGTATTGCAAGCTATCTGTGGTGTGACAAAATGTACAATTCCAACATTTTCTTCTGGCATCTGGGCTGCTCATTCACAATGTGCTCCCAATGGACCCAACCCTCAACTCTTTATTGAGATATAACAATCCCACCCTGTTCACATGTCCACGCTTTTATTGCTCAGTGACGTGTAACAATCAGTAGCTCGGAGTAAACAAGTACACACACACACACAAAAACATGTCATGTCTGGGGCACGGTATCCATGCACAGACAGGGCAGTGTGATACGGGAAGCTCAGCCTCCATTTTGGGGATTGCGTTGATGAGGGCTGACTGGGTGGCTGAGCAGCAGTGGTCATGACTCAGTCAGATATGGTCCGCTCTAACTCACACACTTGCCTCCAGCAGCTCTCGTCCAGCTTCAGCACGACAAAACATTCTGCTGAATCTAAGTCAAATGGATCAACATTATAACAGCCCGAGCCAGTTGCATAGTACATTAAAAATGCGCCTCACAAAACATCGCTGGGCTAATCATTACCTCTAGTCATGACCATCGACTGTCTTGATTAAAGCTCTGCAGGCTACGGTTGGTATTTCACTCACAGTGGAGTCTGTGCTTTACAAAACAGATGGTAGCCAAACTGACGCCTGAATGGTTTTCTTCTTGTCCTAACATGTGGCAAAAAGAGGCACATATTCCCAGATCTTATTTTTCGCAAAATAAATAATGCACAGCGTTTGCTCAAGCTAATAGAGGCCTGAGGCACCTGATGCAACTGCAAAGGGTGCCACAAGCCAGATGTAATGATTGGCCAAAAATGACTCCATTATTAATGAGGCAATTTGCTCCGTCAGCCTCTCAAACCATCCCAACATAAGTATACACTTACGTAAGGACGCCTCACAGCCCAGAAATCAAGATAGAAAAATCTCAATTATAGTAACAAGGCACATCTGCCTTTTATTAGCCGACATACTTCATTAATGAACCCGACCAGGAGGGATATAAATATCATTCAGTGCAGAGTCAGAGCGAACACTGAAGTACACAACAGGCTGAGGATAAATAAAGAGTCCTCCCTTTGTATCGAGCACAAAAGGCATGAAAGCCCACACTGTACAGCTTTCATATTCTGCCGGACACATTCAGCTCCTACAGAGTGTGAAGCCAGGCTAAAAATATAAACAAGGATTCACGCTGAGTATTTAATCGCACTGAGCATAAGGAATAAGTGAAATGATGAATGGCTTGGGCCCTGTCAGTGGCAGTGCTGCTTTAGCCTGAACAGGCACATTCTCCTCCCAAACCCTGTCCCCTATACATTTACCTGAATCACAAAGATATAACAGGATCAAAGAACCTCTGGCCTCCCTCTAGGGATCACCAGCAGGTGAAACCATGAGGCAGAGCACTCGACATCCTTCCCCCTTGCAGCATGGCACTGCTTCGGGGATGAGCTGGCAAACTGCAGCCTCTTTAACCTCCAGTCAAATGAGGTAAACCACAAATGATTAATTTTAAAAGGGAACGTTCGTGCGCACAAATTCAAGCAGACATGCACAAAGACAGACGAGTCTCATTTAAGGGTCACACTAATGGTATCCTGCTGTGACCTTGAAGGGTGGAGTGACAGTGTTGAGTAATGAGTGGTCTGCTGGCTGCTCAGTGTCTGACAGCATCACTCAACCAGACAGATAGAAACACAGACAGACTGCCAAAAAGACCACGACCAGCTGGCAAAATTCAGCCTTTACGCTGCTCGAGGCGTCTCACAATCAGCTGCATCATGCCACAGAATTGCCTAAGAAAAAACACTGTAGAGCTCAATCTAGCAATTTAAGCAATACTCTGACCTATTCCACAGTCTACCTCAGTGTGTCGTGCACGTTTCCTTGTAGCTGAAATATCAAACTAAACCAAGGTCCTGTCTTTGAACAGAAAGCAGTGGTGAATGCAAGTGCAGTAAATGCCGTTTTTATATCGACATAATTTCCATGAACTGTTAGAAAATTATGCATGAGGCTATTAGGTGATAACAAAAATAAGACTCTAGCTGCTACTTTCTGTAGTGTATTTGAAGCTAGTGACGGCCAGATGAACAGAGGTCGACAGTGAGAGATGATCAAAGTCAAAGTAAGTAAAGGAAAGACAGAGGAAATGGGAAGAGAGGCAGAGTAAGACGGAGGGTGTTTAAGCATCCTTGACATTTGTCTCTGGGCCTTGTGCCTACTGTTGTCAGTTACTGATTTAACTGGGCCATGACTACACCCCCACATCGAAGCTAGCAAAAAAACCTTTTGACATCTCACACTTTTGTGCCAATCTGATAATAACCGTCGAAAAAAAATTAACATCGTGGCTAGATTGCATGCAGAATTCACCTGTTGGCAGTGTTGTGCTTTTCATTTGATCACAACTGGGAGCAGGTTTTCACTGTCAAAATTATGGATTATAGGATGTTTTCATACGAGAAGGCACAAGGCTCAGTGTAATAGCTCATGTTTCAAAAACTAGATTACAGAAACTAGATTAAAGGGTTTTGTATTTCCTGTGGCTCAAGTGGTCTCTCTGACATTGATTCTGTACTGGAGTACTATGTGAGGAGAGTGCATGTTAAATATTTATGTGCGCAAAGAACTCTTTCCAGAAAGGTTTCCACAAGTACTAAAAAACATGACTGACTGCAATAATTCTCTGAACTCTTGGACTGAGGATGACAGTGGTCTATTGCAGAGAAGAGAATGGTGAAAGCAGAGACACACAGATCAAAGAGGACAATAGAAAGACAGCAGACTAGAGAACTGAAATTCAGTGCAGTAATGAATGGGTTATGACAGCTGTGGGAGCTGGTCTCACCTGGTTCTCCTCATGAGTGACTCTCATCTGCTCTTTAAGGATTGATGTGCGAGCCGCCTCTTCTTTCCTCATTATCCTCTCCTTCTTTAGCTCAGGACTCCAGAAGCTCTTGATGCTGTTGGTGGAAGACCCCAACTTACTGTCCTTCAGGTCGAGCTCTCGGCGCAGCAGCTCATTCTCCCTCTGCATATCCCTGAGCTGGGCTTGCATCTCCAGCAGCTCCCCACCACTGCCCCGCACTGCCTGCCTCAGCAGAGCAGAGGGCACCCCCTGGTGGTGGTGGTGGTGGTGCAGCATGGAGAGGGAGCCCAGGTCACTGTAAGACAGAAGGTCAGCATGGGGCAGCCCCACTGAAGCAATGTTGGGACTGCTGCCCATGGCTGTGACGCGGCCCCCGTACATGGCCCGGCTGGTGGCGCGACCCAGAGTCATAGTGCCTTTTGGATAGGTGGCAGTGGAGCCCACGCCCTCGTGGTCGCTCAGGTACATGGGCCCCGAAGTAGCATAGGCAGCGTTGAGTGACTGGATGTTCTCCATGGAGAGCGTCTTTCCCCCCGCACCACCCCCGCCCCCGCTGTTGGCCCTCCGATGGCCCAGTCTGGGGGACCTTGGCAGGCGCGGGGACCGTGCGGGGCTGCTCTCTATATGGCCTACAGCTCTGGCACTGCCGTACATGTCCTGTGAATCGGCGGTGTAGCCACCAGAGGGTCCTTAACAGGAGCGCGTTGAAATGAGACTGCTCTGACCCTCTGAACCACACATGGGTGATTTATTTCATGCCTTAATGGGTAGAGCACATCAAAGTCAGATCTGAGGAAAGAGGAGAGAAGCACCTGTTAGATGACAAACAACTGCTTCTGTGTGTGTGTCAGATGAAAGCCACAGAAAGAGATGCACACACTTAAAATAAATACACAGGGTATTACAGGGTTAAACAAATCTGACCTGCAAGACGCTCCAGCTGAAGGAATAAATACTTACATTAGCTTTAAGGCTGTGTTAGTCAACATGAGCAGCACACTGTCACATTTTATATGGCTCCTATTTCAAATGGCCCACAGGAATTTCCCAGCATCACTGTGGATTTCCCACTGGCCAACATTTATCTACATCCCATTAATGCTGCTAATACAGCCAGGAAAGGCAGCTTTACGACCACAAAGTACATCAGATACCATGATAATATATAACATCAGATTTGTCTGTTATGAAAAATGATTGTACATAGTTTTATATCAGAGTAAATCCTCACACCCATGATGTAAGGAGGTCAACAGTTAACTGTTAACCGAGGATGCTAACTTAGCTAACCCCTTTAGCATAGTTAGCTGTGAATGTTAGCTCTTTTAGCGTTGTGTTAGCACTCCTAACAGTTAGTGGTGCTAAGAATGCTAACGGGGTTTGCCGTTCAAGATGACACCGTTTACTCACCAAGGCTACCTAGGGGGGGATACAGCAGGGTGGCCGCCATGTTTCTGCATCAACGCTGTCTCGCCGCTGGGACGGCGTTACCAGCGTTAATGGTTGTTAGCGGTACCGCTAGCTAGCTCCAACCCGATGCACAGTGCATAGCGGCTAAGGCTAACGTTAGCTAACCAGTGGGGACCAGAGGGTAAGTGCTAGCTAGCTAGTTGTCAGCAAAGCCAACAGAAAATAACAGAAGGCTCTCTATTTACAACGTCTCTTATATTCACCTCATTTCTTTTTTATTTTACTTTAATTTAATTTTATTGTATTTTTTTAATTCATCTTACCAGGTAACAGGTGTTTCTATGGCTGGGCTATCACAAGCAACATTAACTGAAACTGACATCCATACTATTAAGTGCTGACTAAATGCATGATATGTTTACCAAATAGTTATTTTTCCAGTTAATTCCCTACAAAAGCTCTAGGTTTAAAATTTCAAATGCCAGTGTTGTTTTAGATAAGTGGTTATTTATTAATAAACACACACAAACACAAACAAACTGATTGTTTGCATCCAGTATTACTGTTAAGACCAAATTAATGCTTTATGCGAGTGTGATGTCTGACTCTTTGGCTCCCTACTTAATTAGCCCTTCACATGTTTATTACCATAATAATTGTTAGAAACTGAACCAAAGTGAAAGATTATAACATATCACAAATACACAGCAACACAGCAGCTGGTACTTTATAAAGAGCACCAGAGAACACAACAAACATCACTGTGTCGCACCTCGCCATACAATCAATACAATGTCCCCGACTCAATGCAATAAAAATCAATTATAAAAGAGAGCTAACATAATCAGGCCCATGGCATATGACATAAAGTAATCCTCCGCTGGATTGTATTGTCTCATAAACACATAAAACCTACAAATTATGACAGACAAGGGACTTGCAGTGGTTTTATAACCACTGATGTTATGCCGTTTACAATATGCCATACAGATTTTCTGGCCACAATTTTAATTAGAATTGCGTAAATCAAAGGAATTTAAAATACTGCAGCCTGCTGGCTAACGAGGAGCAAAGGATATGGGGGGGCTTAATTTTTAATGTGGTAATAATGGGACTGCCGTTTAATGCCACCTCAAGCTTCAATATAGCCCAAGATATATCACGGTCTGTGATACATTTAGCTCGGGATGACACATAATGGCAGCGTCATTATTACATTATTGTAGATATCTTTTTGGGTAAAATAACAGAGAGTCATTTAACAACAAAGACGCTGACAGGGGTTGTTAATGTCACAGGCTGCCTGGTGATGAATAATACTGGACCGTCTGTGAGACAAAAAAAAATTAGACTCTTCCATCAAAGTGAACTACGGTACTTTCTCTCCTCTGGTGACACTTGCTGCTCAGACTCAGTTGCCATGGTGACTCTGCCTGGGCTAACAGAGATAAAGCACCTCAGCCGTCTGACATATAACGATGGCGTAAGTTCCCCAAAAAATTGTGGCCAAATGTAGATGGTGAGTGTTGCAGCAGTGTCGAGGTGACATGACAGCCTGTCTGCTCCATGGGAGCTTTCTCTAGCAATCCAAAATTTGTAACTTCATGCATATTCTTTTATTTTTCTTTTGAGGGACAGATGAAATGACAGTTCCCGGCACAGAGAACCATGTGTCAACAGGTCTCCTTGTATGAAATCCAGTGAGATTTTAGATGGCAGGACTCACTGAAGCATCATCTGTGTGGAAACACTTGGCCGGGGGTGCTATCACTGCAGCCTGGCAGAGGTAGTCACACAACACGCTGTCATCTCTGTTAGTAACATTAAGTTAAAGGTGTCTAACAATCTCATGGGAACATACTAATATAAACTGGCAAAACAGACCAATCAGAGTTAGTTTAAAGGCTTAGACTCCTTTTGTCTCTTTGTCCCTCTGAGAGACACTGACAAATTAAATTTAAAATTTAAATACGCAGACACATGCAACAACAAACACTGTGGCTCTTATCTACAGTGGTCAGCTTGCTACAGTGGGTCTGTGAAGTCTGGTCGGTAAATGTTTTAAGAGCAAAAACAGCATTCAGCAGTGGGCAGACAAAAACAACAGAGACATCTCATGATAAATTAGAACTGACCAGCTGTATATCTAGTCTGTTGAGGCTCATAACATTTGTTTTTGGTGAAACTGTTAGTGTGGATGATTCAACTCATTTTTGAGGCCTGGCTGTGGTTTGCAGCATAAAGCAAAACATCCAGTGAAGCATCTTTCAGTCAGTGTTGGTTAGGATCTACTTGTAATGACTGTTTCTGTTTAAGTTTGTCTGGGTTTTGCATATGTTGTCATCATTTTTTAGACTTTCTCCGCATCGTTACTGCTGTTCCCATGATTCAGGCGATGACTATCTGGCTTGTTTGGACCTCTTTAAAGGGACAGTTCATCCCCAAATTAAAAATATAAATTCTCATATTACCTGTAGTGCTTTTTGACAATCTATGTTTCGGTATGAGTTGCCAGGTGTTGGAAATATTGGCCGTATTTCTCTCAAATATAATGGAACTAGATGGCACTCGGTTTGTGGTGCTGAAAGGGACAAAAAATACATTTGAAAAACTCAACAGCAACGTTTCTTTCCAGAAATCATGGCCTGGTTACTCAAGATAATCCACAGACCTTGTGAGCAGTTTCATGCAGGAACTATTTTTTCTTTACCAAACTACATCCACCAACCGAATCACCGCACAGAAGAAAGCATGCATCTACTCAAAGATGAGAGGCTCTTGCTCGTGACAGTGTGAGATGTAAACTTTAATGGCATCCACCATGGCTGAGCTGTAACGTTAGCTAGCTCAGAGGTGCATGATATCGGTTGGTGGATGTAATTTGGTATAAAGAGAATAGCTCTTGCAAGACGCTGCTCATGTAGCAAGCTCCTCTCATATTTCTTTCATTAACACCTGGATAGTCTCTGCCCGAGCCACTTTTACCTGGCCCGCCACTCCTACCTCACATCACTTCCTGCTATGCTTGTTTCACTCTCCATGTAAGAGGACACATGCATTGCAGCCACCACACTCACAACAAGATCTGTGGATTATCTTGAGTGACCAGGTCATAATTTCTGGAAAGAGACATTGCTGGTGAGTTTCCAACCGAGTGCCATCCAGCTCCATTACATTCCAGGCATCTCTATGGCTGATATGTCCAACTCTGGGAAACTCACACCAGAAAATCTAGACTGACAAATATCACTACAGGTAAAAGGAAAGTGTGTATTTTTGATTTGGGGATGAACTGTCCCTTTAAGTTTCTTGTCTTACCTTAAAAACGTACCTATACAAAGTTTGTCAGCCCTCTTATTAAAGCTTCAGCTGTGATTTATTTATTCAAAACTGCCTTTGTAATTGTGAATTACAGAAAAACGATGTAATGTGCACGTGGGGGAAAAATGCTGCGCTGCTGAGCCAGTGATCTGGGACGTGTGCCATGTGAACGCAACTTCCACGCTTTGATTCCAGCTCCATCTTTGTTGCATGTCCTCCCCCTCCCTCCTCATGTTTCCTGCCAATCTTCACTGTCAGCTTTTTAATAAAACTGTACGCCAGAGATATTTACTTTAAAAAAAATCATGGTGACATATGCCAAATGGAGGAAAATAGTGCTTGAAAGAAACGCTTAACACTACAGACACTTCTACCTCAAAAATAAACACACTGAACTACTGAACAAACGTCTTCATTTCACTGCTTGCTTTTGAATTAAATAGTAAGGTGTTTCTCATTTTCTTCTGTTCAACCAACTGCACGCACTCTAATCACATTGCTTTTACAGATTGAATGCTGGAGCTTTGATATAAGCAATAGTGCTTCATACGATACTGGCATTTCCAACTGTGACACAATACCTTGAAAAATGTTGATATTCAATACTATTCTCAATACCACGGGAAAATTTTTACATTTAGGGCATATGAGATACAATTTCCATTAAAAGATAAATATAACAAGGCTTTAACATGACAACAATCTTTTCTTGGTTAGCAGCAGAGAACAGCAGAGAACAGCAGGATGACGGTGGTCAACATTAACAGAATGAGAGCTAGAAAGCGCAGTTGGTCGTGTATCGATAGTGTGGAAAATGAGGATAGAAACCATTTTTAAATGTTCAGAATCAATATGAATCACTAAATCGATAAAGTGATGGATCTATGGTTACATTGACATTGTGTTTTTTGTCTCTGGTACTTAAAGCCTAAAGATATTTGATTTACAGTGATATAAAACAGTGATAAATAATACAAATCCTCTCATTTTAGAAGACGAAATCGATGACTTTTTGGTGGTTTTGTTTGATCAATTCAACTGCGTTTTATTTATCTTGCCAGAGATCATAAATCACAATTTGTCTCAGGGGGCTTTACAACACAATGGATGAGGAAAAGCTTCCTCAAAAAAAAAACAAACCCTTTAATGCGGACAAAATGGAGGAAATCTCAGGAAGAGTGACTGAAAAGGGATCCTTTTCCCAGGACTGACAGACATGCAATAAGTGTCTTAAATAATTATGCAATTTTTTGTCAATTGACTAATAATGAATGAATGAATGACTTTATTTCAAACCTAAATGTAAAAAAATATAATAAAACAAACAAGAAAAAGGTAACAGTGTCAGAAAAGGAGTAGGTAGAAGTAAAACTTATATGCCCTTAAGCCTTTCTTACATTTCTTCTTTTAACTCCCAATTCCCTAATTTATTTATAACTAATATACAACTATCCCCAGTCTGTTTACCATCCATTAAAGAAAAACGACTAATAAATTATTTGACAAAATGTGTTTGCACAAGTACAGTGAATGTATGCATCAAATAATGAATAAATTGAGTAGAAATTCCTGCCATGTTCTACACCAGTTTATCTCCAGTGAAAATCATACTCTGATCTTTTTATTCCTCTCTAACCCTGTTCTACTGTAAAATTCCATATCGACTATAACGGATCCCCCACCCACGCACACACACAGATCCACACAGCACCAAAGGCATATTTCTCAGTAGGCCGGGCCGAGGGAAATGACCCAAGTGCAATAAGAGAGTATCATATTATTGCAGAAACAGTGATAACACTGGAGTACTGCAAGGGGTGCCTGCTGAGAGGCCAATAATCCTCCACCGACCCATCCCCACCCTACAGTTAATTTTACAGAGCATACTAAAAAACAGAAGATGCATGATTTTAACTATAGGGTTTTTTTTAAACTCATGCTGTCACTTTCATTTCCAACCTGACGTCACCACACTGTTCAGGTGTTGCTGAGCAATTGCAGTCACCAGAACCCTGAAAACCTGTCAGCAAATGCCAGTGCAGGCCAGTGAGGAAATTATCACTGGCAATTCAGGGAGCAGTGATGCGTTAACTGCGGGGAGGATACAGATGTTCTGACAGAAAGATTTCACCACAGGCGGTGCTGAGTGTATCTGTGGGGTCAGGGAGACCCTTCCCTCTGTGAGGCGATCATGACATTTTGAGAGCCAGCATGCAGGCATTTTGTTCCTACTGAATAAGACTTAAAACCAGGGATCCTTGGCTGTGAGGATGAGCTTCTGAGGTCAGAGCGCATGTCTAGGACGGATAAAGGACATTTTTTAGTCTATAAATAGCCTTTACAATGGCTTGGTGATAAAGAAATTCAATGTGGAAAAGAAGTAGCAGCCGGTTCAGTGCGGTGCAGGGCTACTTGAGGAACACATGCAGCCTCCTCATCACGTATTCTACTACACAGTATCAACGCCCCCGTGCTTCCCACTGACTCCAATGGTTGGTTGATTGGGATGGGAAAATGTAAATGTGCGACTCCAAATGGCCTGTTCACCCGTCCACCCAGATCCAGTCACCAACCTGCTCGTTAGAAATGGCTTGTGCATGCGAAATGACTCAGACAGATGTTTATCTTCATCACACATAGGTGTCTGTTTTCAATTCAAATATTTATCCTATAATGACTGCTGACTGGTGTGCAGGCTGAATCACATTTCATGCAGCATAGGAAGCACGACTGAGCAATTGACAGCTCACTGGGCCTACATTTTCGATGGCTCCGGCGTGCTGTGCGTCGAGCACCTGAACACACGATTGAAATATTAGTCTAACGCACAGCGGGGAAGCCGACTGAAACCTTTATTTTGAAATACACCGCTGCTCTATGGTTTCAACACGTCTTTAAAATGCAAATTGTCAGGTATCAAGTGAGCACTGAGTGGCTGTGTTCGTGCGATCACCCACCACCGGAATGGGTTTTTTTAAACGCGCATAAGCCGGCGCTTTTTTCCGCCACATCGCTCATCAAACGCTCCAAAAAAAGACGGGACGCACGTGTCAGTGCTTCTATAACGACACGCGGAGACACGGGGTGCAGAATAAAAGAAGCAAACGTACCTTGATCGATGTTAATTCCTCTCCTTCGCCGCTTTAGACGGCATCTTGTCGCCTCCATTCACCCCAGCAGCCTCTCTCAGCATCCTGCGCTGTCATTGGGCAGCGGACACGCTCTCTCTCCTCCTCTACACACCAGGGAGCAGCATCACCACTACTGCAAGTGGCAGCTGGCAGGAGGGGATGGGCGGAGGAGATGCGGTGAGCGGCCCCTGCACTCAGTTTCACATCATCTTGGTGCTCAATGGCAATCATTGGCCGCGTCCGTTCACATTAGTAGAATATATTTGAGTTTTTTTTTATTGGAGCTCTAGTTGTCTTTTTTATGGCTCGTGTTTTCAACCTTTCACCGGGGTTTACAGGTGACCGGAAACACAGCCATGTAGTTACAGTACATTTCAGAGGAGGTGGACCCAATTCAAAATTAGATGTGTGGCATAGATCAGTAGCAAAACCTGTGGGTAGAGCCAGCAGCACTGCTTTTAACACGAGTGTATTTAGCCCTGCACTTTGACTCACAGGCAGCCCTTCCTCCACATGGTAAACCACCATCATCAGTGGCAGGTCTTACTAGATCAAGAAGGGGGGCGCCTAAATTGCCCCCACCCCCCATAACAACAACAATAATAATAATAATAATAACAATAATTACTGTTACTATTACTATTACACTTTGCCCACCAGAGTGTTATTTTTAAGTTGCAGCCAGCGCCAGCATTTTTGATCATAATCACTAATCTTTAAAGACCTTTAATTTGTTCTATGAATATGTAAACAGTATATACATAAAACTAAGGAAGAGACCTTCTGTTTTTATACACAAGAAACATTTTATATATATTTTATATATACATTTATTATATTTTTATTATATAGGCTATAGCACTTGAATTTCTGCATTTTCACAAAGAAAAATAACATTTCAGACAATAATCTGAGAAAAATGCATTTTTGTCAAATACAGTCATTGTCAAGTATAAAATCAATTTCCTTACGTCAGTTTGAATTGTATAAATAAAAATAATAAAAATAACAATCATGAAAATAATATTGTCTTTCGGGTATAGCGGAACACGTTGCCACGTTCAGCGATCGCTCAGTGTTCTGTTGTCTCCCTCTCCTCTGTGGTTGTCTTGTCCGTGTGTCACTGTCACCATCATGTAGACTCACAAGTCAGTCTTTAGACGCTTTGCTTAACTAAAGACTGATGACTTTCTCCCTGATTTTGTGTTTAGATGGGCGGATACAATTTCAGAGTTTAAAAAAACTCCCTACGTTGCAGAACCAATAGTAAATCCGCAGGGCGGTCCTTTGGTGGCTCGCTGAACTCTTGTGCTCGTAAACATAGTCCGACTAGAAACACGTGTAGTGGTACAAAATGGCTCAAGTCGCTGTAAGTCCTTCATTTCCACAATCTTGTGGACTGAGCACACATTTGATAAAATGGAGTTAAATCTCTCGGCATCCATTTTCAAGCTCTCTGTGTGTTTGTTTCCTTGCGGACGAGAAAAGGGGGAGCGACATTTCCGGGAGGGCGTGTTCTTTTCAAAAATGCAAGAGGCATTGCTTTGTTGCCGGCCGTTTTCGCCGGTGTGTTAAACACATTTTAGAAAGGAGTGTCCCCAGACTATCAGAAGGCGGAGATCTCTAATTGTCTGGTGGCGAGACTACCATCATGGAGATCCCGTTTCGACGCACCAAACTCATTTGCTTCTTTGGCCAAAATCGGATTCAGACTGTTGATTAAAACAGGAATTGTCGGTCTGAGTCCATCGACATCTCAATGGCTTGCCCAACCGCAAACTTTTCCGTTGACGCCGGCATTTTCGTGCAGTTCACAAGCTGCTACGTCTCTGTAAACAATGTCTTCTTCCCATTTCCAGTGGATCTTGTTCTTCATTTGTTTTTGGACACGGCAATGCTGTTTTATTTCACAAGATGTGTAACAGTGTTCCCTATCTTAGAACAGTGAAAACACGGATTGCCAGAATATCTCGTCAATGGCGGGGATAATGTTAATTACCGGTATTATTATTATTTAGGGCCATACCTGACTCAGAATTATGTCCGTCAAATCAGATTTGGCTGTTAAATACGAATACTCAACTTTTTTTTTTTTCCATATAAAATTCTAAAGTTTGAACAGGGTCCAGCGGGACGTTCAGTGTGACAGCACATTCATGTAATATAGTAAACAAGCTAACATTCCTTACAACGAGTTGGAAATTTGCAGCAACATTTTTTGCCATCATTAGATATCAAACAAAAGCCAGAGACTGTCATATTAAGTCACTGTGCGCTGTAAATTCACTGCTTCTAAGCAGAAGAGAGAAAATAGTGTTGTCTCAGAGCTTTACGGTGGAAAGTTTATTATTGTCCGTACCGCTGTATCACTTCGCAGCTGACCGTACCACGGAGTGGTGTGAAAGTCAAGAGCGCTCACGCTGCAGCAAATCTGGGGGCCAAAACGTCCCCAGAGGTACACTGCACAGGACAATGACTAACAAAGAATAAAATAAACTATCACTGATGACCCAAATCTCTTACTCTCAAGGGACAGCCCTATTATTCATTCATTCATTCATCTTCTAACCCTCTTAAGGGTCACGGGGGGGCTGGAGCCTATCCCAGCTGACATCGGGCGAGAGGCAGGGTACACCCTGGACAGGTCGCCAGACACATAGAGACAAACAACCATTCACGCTCACATTCACACCTATGGACAATTTAGAGTTATCAATTAACCTAGTCCCCAATCTGCATGTCTTTGGACTGTGGGAGGAAGCCGGAGTGCCCGGAGAGAACCCATGTTGACACGGGGAGAACATGCAAACTCCACACAGAAGGGCTCCCACACCCGGGATCGAACCAGCAACCCTCTTGCTGTGAGGCGACAGTGTTAACCACCACACCACCATGCCGCCCAGCCCTATTATTATTATTATTATTATTATTATTATTATTATTATTATTATTATTATTATTATTATTATTATTACAGTACATTTTAAAAAATCAAAAATAAGGGGTATGGTTGAGTGGAGTGTATGTGGTGTATAGAGAGCATTACCAAAAGGGCTTGCCTAGGGCCCCCAATTTGCTAGATCCGGCACTGACCGTTATCGAACCATCCTGATGTAATCCTGCAGGTTAAATATGGTTGGGGTAATACCAAGGGACAGGACTGTAGTCTGCTAATCCTAGCCAAGGAGGAGGGGGGGGCAATTTGCACGCCTGACAGGCTCAACTCTGGGGGAAATAAAGTTCTTTTTATCTTCATCTGCCGTCTATCCTGTAGGCTATTTTCCTCCTCCTTCACTACTCTTGCACATCTGATCCACTTAATTCTCATTGGCTGAGCAGAAGAAACAGAATTAACCCCAACACCGCTAACATGTAAGTAGATCAAGTGTGCAGGGGCAGATGCAGTAAAAGCTTGCACCACATGGAGAGTTGGAAAGCAAGATCGATGCCACTGTCATATCTGTTAAACATGGAGACACTTAGCTTAGCTTAGCATAATAACTACAAACAGCTAACCTGACTGTGGACAAAGGTAACACAGTCCAGCACCTTTAAACTGTTAACATGCTTTAACTCGTTTGTTAAATCCATACAAGAATCACTGAGGTTTTAAGGGAGTAAATGTGATGGACTATTTCTTGGCCCTTCGCCGTAACTTCCTGGAGTCTCTGCTGGTTGCCTGGCAACCTCACTGTGACGACAAGACACAAGCTGGTTGTTTCATATTTACAGTACAGACAGGAGAATGGTAATAATCTTCTCATCTAACTCTCGGCAAGAAAGTGAATAAGCAAATTTCGCAAAATGTCAAACTGTTCCTTCTGGTCTGACGTGTCAGCGATACAGAACTGAGACAGGTTGTGTGTGGTTTTAAATCAAGCAGCTGCAGGAGGAGTGACACGACCAGTACAGCAGTGACGTATTGTGGTGTCTTTTTTTAAAACAATGAAGCTTAACATTGTAAATCAGAATTGCCTGAGGGATCCGGCAGATCCAATAAGCAGCTCTGACAGAGGAACTTCTGTCGCAACATGAATCAATCTAAACTCATGACATCAAACACTGTGACTTCACCATGAGGTGAGTACGTCCTTCAGAAGCGTTGGTACTGACAGCTCTGCAGGGTTTTCCAAAACTATAACAACGTCCCCCTGGCCCTTGTCTTCCTCCTGCTCTCGCCTGCCTTCAGGCTGCCTGGAATTACAGGGACTTTCTCCCATTTTGTATTGTAAACACTGACGCTAAGTGTGCTTGACAGGGCCCAAAGGAGAGGCATCAGCATTTCTGTGTCCTGAACACAAACACACAGTCCCTCAGTCTCCCTCTTCCTTTCTCTCATGCTCACATACAAGGTTATATGAACAGAAGACAAGAGAAATGGGCACAGTAAGAAACTGTTTGTGCTCCAGTTGATTGAAAACTTCTTTACTTAGTGGCTGACCTGCATTTCCATTATGAGATCCCAGTGACAGGCAGAATGTGAGTGGTGATTGGTCATGTTTGCTTGTCCCTTACAGGGCATCAGAGGCCATGTTGAGGCTTGGCTTCTTTTTCCTCACACAATTTGACCTGCAATATGTTCCCGAGTGCCCGGCCAGCCATGTGGTCAGTGCTGACATGCAGCCAGAAGTGTCCATTTTCTGTCTCTTCCAATTCATCCCCATTTTTAAAATCATCAGCGTCTGATATACAAATCACACTTGAGGTTAGTGGAAGTCCCACACTCCATTAAGAACAATATGTATTCTCCATCAAATGACTTGCTGATATTGTTGGTTCAAAACAGTTAACTTTAATTGACTTGGGCTACCGCAGGCCAGGAGGACTATAGCTTTTTCCTGGAGAAAAATGGATGTATCTTCAAGACATCTATGGGTAAAGAAGATGGCTTCTTGTGTTGCATCAGAGAAACTGACTTACATAACCAGAAGAAGGGCAGGAGAATTTGAAAAAGTCATTGTATTATCTTGGATGTCAGATGCCTTACTTTATTTTATTTATTTGTTAGATATGTGAAATACATGAAATGTTGTGCTTCTTACTACAGAAACCATGTTTAAACGTTTCATTGCTTACTGGAGTTATTAATATCGTTAATCGTTATCGTACCCCTGATAAAATTCCT